ACATTAGGGTTGAGGGTTCAGGGTTTAGGATTATGCATACACTACCACATACGCCGAGGTCCTATTCTCAAGAAGCAGGCCCCTAGTTTAGCCAAAGCACATCCACCTCTGTACCCAGAGACTCCAATGTCCCTTAATTGAGGAATATACCTTAAATTATAATAGGATCCCTAATATGATTTAAGGTATATTCCTCAATTAAGGGGTATTGGAGTCTCTGGGTAGCTGACAGGTATCGATTGCTTGGAATGGTCTTCTGCATCTTCCTGACGACGCCGTTGGCCTTGCTTCTCCTTTTCCAGGGTGCGGCGCGGCCCTTGGGGGGCCCTCTGGGTTAGGGCGTGTGTGATTCAGAGTTTGGGGTGTTGTGTTTCGGGTTTGGGGGGCCCAATGTAATTAGCATCGGGGTCGTGGGCTCATGGCACTCAGGATCAAGGTTTGTGTTCGCTCCTAAACCCTAAACCCAAACCCAAACCCTAAACCCTAAACCCTAGTTTACCCATCCTTGAAGCAAGGCTGGCGATCGGAAAGATGGTCGTAAGCAGAAACCCTAAACCCCCAACCCTAGACCCTAAACCCTAAACTCTGAAAAAATAACCCTAAACCCTAACCCTAAACGACAAGTGCGGCATTAGAGAGGGAAGATTCATGATATAACAAGGAACCCCCAAAACCCTATTCTAATTATTATGGCCCCTAAACCCTAAAGCCCTATAGTAGCCCTTCTAGAAACCTTTTAAGGAACCCTTTAAAGCAACCCACCCCGAACCCCTATTCTAATTATTAAGGCCCCCGCATTACCGATGTTTTGGCCGGCTGCTAGAGCCTTCGAGGGACATCGCTGGTTTTCTCAATTGGGGTTTAGGGTTTCTAGGATTTAAGTTCAGGGTGTAGGGCCCCTAGCGCGGACGGATAAAGTCACTGACAAGAGCCTGGGTGACTTGGTGAAGCTGATCATCAAGTATTGTCAGAACGCGATCGATGAGCAAAGATTGAGGGCTGAGATGAAAAATTGGTGAAGAAAGGCAAAAATGTGGAGCCGTTTGCTCCACTCCTTCCATTCCCAAAACTGCAAACAATGCCCGGGCAGCCTGAGCTGAAGAGTGAGTACGTAGTCACTGAAGACCTTATCCTCACAGGAGAAAGAGCGCTCTGCCCCCTACCTTCCTGCATCAGAAACATCGTCCTCACTGCTGTGACCTTAACTTCTGAACTCTAAGCCCTAAACCCCTAAAGCGTGAACCCGAACCTTGCTACATAGCATCGTGCTTGTTCTCGTTCTCCAACTTTTGTCTGTCTGCACAGGGGCGAGGCGAGGCTTGATGGTTTTGGGCGTAGGGTTTAGGGTTTAAGGGTTAGGAGTGTTTTGGGGGTTCGGTCTAGTCTTCCTTGTGCCAAACAGCCAAGGCCTTAAAGCGCATGAGCCTAAATTACATGATAGAGTCCTTGCAATAGTGATCCCCAAGTGAACCAATGAACGCGGCCACGACCTTAAACAAATCCTGCTAGAGATTAACATGGAGATAAGCATCATTGCTCGTTTGTGCCATGGGATACTCCAGAACCCTGTTCCTCAGATAGCCAATGGGAGAACTTTAGGCTTTTTGGCTTTATATGTTGAGTCTATTGAACAACGTTTGAACTTTTTAGGGCCTGGCTATTGAAGAACGACGATTCTACGTAATCTTACAAGCCCATAGTTCGGGCTTAGGGTGCAATGGGGAAATCCATGGAAACGCGAGTGCTTCAGTAATTGGAGTCCAACACCGGGGCTGAGGTTTTAGGGTTTCGGGTTTTGGGTTTAGGGTTTGGGGATACTTGCCAAACCCAGCGACTTGCAAATCTTTTGACTGATATGGGCAGTTCTCTAGATTAGGGTTCCTGTTAGGGCCCCGTACTATATTGGAGACTTGAAAAGGGACCCTAGTTTAGAGAACCACCCGTATACCTTCATTTGCATTCCTTGATCTTTCATGAGTTAGGGTCTTTTCATGTCTTTTCGTTAAAGCAGCAGATTGGGAGTCTCCGGCAAGGGCTTAGGGTTTAGGGTTATGATCCTCGATTGCTAATAACACACAGTAGGTCTCCAAATTCGATTGAAAATCAAATAAAAATCGAAAAAAGACAAATAAAAATATAGCAAAAATCGAATTTGCCACTTAAGCTGCCGAAACTTGTTCGTTTCCTGGTGTTGCGGCATAGCTGGGCGGTGGTGGTGTTTTCGAAGAGCTGGATCTGCCGCTATGGCTGATAAACACAAAGATATTTGTTGCCCTCAGTTTCCAGATGCTTTGGACAGTCGGCAATATGAACAAAATCATTCGGCTTCAGTTCGATTTTATTTTGATTTTATTTTGATTTTGTTTTGATTTTTCATCGATTTTATTTCGATTTCGATTTTATTTTGATTTTATTTTGGTTCTATTTTGATTTTTCATCGATTTTATTTCCATTTATATCTTGCCTTTGAAATTTTCTGTCTTCTTAGGGAATCGGTGATCACAAGTTTAGGGCCCTAAACCCTAAACCCTAAACCCTAAACCCTAAACCCTAAACCCCAAACCCCAAACCCCAAACCCCAAACCCTAAACCCTAAACCCCTAAACCCCTAAACCCACCAAATCTAGTCTAGGGCTTCGGGGTTTAGGCTCGATGATTTTGAACCGATGGTTCCATGGTCAGGGTTCGGGATTTTCCTGTTGTATGAGGCAAGGGTTTGGGATTTAGGGTTTAGGGTTTAGGGTTTAGGGTTTAGGGTTTAGGGGTTTAGGGTTTAGGGTTTAGGGTTTAGGGTTTAGGATGAGGCAAGGGTTTGGGATTTCGAGGCATTTAGTTTCAAGCGTTTCGGTTTTGTATGTGCTGTCCTAATATACAACCTACCAGCGAACCCGAAACCCTAGACCCCAAGCCCTAAACCATCAGGGGCCCTACTTGTAGCTCAGGTTCGGTCCCGACGCCCAGAGGTTTCAACCCTTAAGCCCGTAGACTTCAATTCACTACACGCACAGCAGACAGGAAACAGGGGTTTAGGGTTTATGGCACACAGACAGCAGACTTTAGGGCTTCGGGCATGTAGCTACCCAACGGTCGGAAAGAGTCCTGGGCTTAGCCCCTAAGCTGCCCCAAACCCCAAACCCCAAAACCCCCAAACCCCTGACCCTAAACCCCACCCTCAGGGTCCCAGTAGCCCTTTTTTATGGTTTTCGGTACCCAACAAGGCCCAAAGTCCTTAAATAACGGGTACTTGGACCCTCAGGGCCATAGATTCCCAAAGCCACTTCGCGCCAGGCTAGTTTCATAGAGGCCAGCGACGTACAGTGCTCGGCCAACGACCGGCTTTTGATTCTATGCTCCTTGGTCCTTACCTTGTTAGAAACCAGGGACTCAAGTTTGAAGACGTTTGGGCCCAAAGACCACGCATCCTAAACCCCCAACCTAAACAGGCCGTTCAAAGCCCCTAAACCCTAAACCCTAAACCCTAAACCCTAAACCCTAAACCCTAAACCCTAAACCCTAAACCGCTTTTCTTCGAGAAGCCACGGTTTAAGGTTTAGGGTAGGGGGACTTGGGGTTGAGGGTTTAGCCTGGGTTTGGGGGTTTAGGGTTTAGGGTTTAGGGTTTAGGGTTTAGGGTTTAGGGTTTAGGGTTTACTGTTGTTTCTGAAAGGAACCATTGTGAAATTACAAGTTTAAGCTTTTTTCTCCCTGGTTGCTTCAAAGTCTTGTTCGTGATTGTTGTGGCTTCAGTTGCTGAGTCTACGCAGCTTGGCGCGGCCATGAGTGTTTGCATGTAGTTGCCCTAGGTAGTATTTGCTTTGGGGAATTAGTAAGCATATTTCGGATTCGCGATATAGGCGCTGACAGTATGATCTACTCCTCGAAACCTTATGTTCAGAGCTGAATCCCCCATACTCATTAGTCTTTGGGGGTGTTATGGAAGGCAAGGTGCACCCGGCGCTTTATTTCGGTGCGCTTGGTGTGCAGTGCTTGATTTTTCATAACTCCGGCGGCATGTGCTTCAGAGGCTGACGCATTTCACGCGCACAAAATACAAGGCCTAGTGAATACAAGGAAGACATTAGGGTTTAGGGTTTAGGGTAACATTAAAGGCTTTCGTAACTGTAGGGTCTCAAGACAGGATCTCGAAATACGAAACGTAGCCTGACAGCTCTTCAGTGCTTTCCTTGCGGGTTTAGGCCTCACAAGTTTCAGGGTTCAGGGTTTTAGGTTTTTGTATATGTTTGGTCAGGGTTATGTAGAGTTTAGGGTTTAGGCTTACCCTAAGGGTCCAAGTGCCTAATAATCATATACTCTTCTGAATACTAACCTATTACTGTCCGCAACCCAAGTATATGATTCTTAGGTCCTGTGGACCCTTAGGGTTAGTGCTCAGGGTTTACGGTTTCGGAAAAGACTTCTCGGCAGAGCCGACGACATCTCAATTGTCTTTGTCCGACCGCTCTCCGGATGGCTTAGGGTGTACCATAACCTACCAAAGCCTACTTTTCTTGTAGGGTCCCTATAACTTCCATATCAGGGTTTGTAATGACAACCTGCAAGAAGGTAGGTTTTGGCATACTTTTTTTGTAAGGTCCCCATAACCTCCATATCAGGGTTTGTAATGACAACCTGCAGCAAAGTAGGTTTTGGTAGGTCAAGGTTTGGGAGCACGCGAACTCACCCCAAGACGGTTAAGGCATTGAGGCGGCATGTTACCTCCCTCCAAACGCTAAGACTACATGCCCAACACGACGCACATAACCCTAAACCTAAACCCTGTACCCAAAGCCCTAAAACCTAAGCGCCGCTGAGGCTGTATGCTCTTACAACTCTGCTGGCCTGTCTGCATGCCGCAATTCAACCTCATGCTCTTCGCGCTCCTCCGACATGTTTTTGTTGAAGCATTTTCTGTGACTTGGAATGTTTTTCATCCCAACCCCCTAACTTAACTGGGGCTCTCACGACCCCGAGCCCCACGAAGCCCTACCAACACCCTATTGAAATTATTCAGGTTCCGATGTCTTGGGCCAAAACCCGATCCCCAAAACCTAGGGTTTAGGGTATCATGGAGCCCTTTCTGAGAGCCTTTACAGCACCCCCTTCCCACGACCTCAATCTAATTCCCAAGGGGTCCTAAGTACCTATATGTGGGGCGAGTTGCCCAAACCATAGTGGTATTTCTTATTATAGAAACCCTCCATTCTAGTAGATAGTTATTTAGCACCCTTTGGGATTGTCGTGGCCCGTTATACTACACCATGAAAAGAAACAGCACCTATCCCCAAGTACCGAATAATGTAGGAACCTGA